TACTCTGGGTAAAAAACAGCTCAATGGCTGGAGCATGCCCCTCGCTGTTACAAACATAAAGGTAAACACGTCTATTTTGTTATCTATAGCAACAGGTATAGAGCCATCTACACCTCAAACTGCATCTGAAACATAGATTGTCCTAGTGTGCTTATAAACAATACCTACAAATATCTATGACGTTTGCACATTTGATATTGCTTAACTGAAGTCCGCTGAGTGTAATTATAAATCTGTGTGTATTTGTGTGGAGCAGGACTCTGAACTCCCTCCTGAGCCCAAAGACGTGCCCGTCCTCATCCAGCTGAGACTGCTGGACCAGAGAGATGCTACAGCGAAGGTGAGAGACCCTGACCAGTCAGTCAGTGTTATTTTAGTATTATTTATTTACTATTATAGTATTTATTATTATTTGGAATTAGCCTTTTTTATTTTTATATTTTTCATTTTTCATTTTTTTACATTTTTAGTTGTTTTTTAATTTTCAGTCGTTTTTGTAAATATTTCTATCAAGCTATTATTTATTTTAATTTCAATTTAATCTTACTAATTTTAATATTTCAACATTAAAGGGATAGTTCACCAACAATTAAATTCTGTCATCATTTACTCACCCTGAAGTTGTTCCATTACTCACCCTGAAGTTGTTCCAAACCTGCATGAGTTTCTTTCTACAGCTGAACACACAAAAAAAGATATTTTGAAGAATGTTGGTAACCAAAAATGTGACGGATACCGTCAACTGTTTGGTTACCAACCTTCTTCTTTTATGTTCAGCGGAAAAAAGAAACTCATAGAGGTTTGGAACAACTTCAGGGTGAGTAAATGATGACAGAATTTTCATTACTTATTTCAGTTAATTCACTAAAATGTTATAATTTTAAAGATTTTTTTATTATTATTAAGTATTTGATCTAATATTCATATTTAATTTTATTTTAGCTTTATTTTATTTTTAATTAATTATTAAATTAAATTAAAATTATAAATTAATTTAATTATTAAATTATTTCAATCACCAACAAATGTTTTTTGATGGTTTTAGGTTTAGTTAACAATAAAAACATTTCACTTCATAAAGTTACACTGTGTCCCAATGAGAAAAGATTAGAAGGTTAATTCAGGTTAGGATATGGTCAGTAATTCTAATTGTGTTTCAAGTTGAACATATTATAATAGGTGCTTAATGTCTTACTGTTGCCATAATTTACGTTTTACTTTAAGTGTAACCCGAAGAGGAAGTGATCTACATTCCTCTGCTATGCATCTACACTGATTTTAGCCAGTGGAGATCAAGGTCAGGGATCTAAAGGATGTTGATTAATAAATGTTTAATCTTTCACAGCTCACTTGTGCTGTCGCAGTTCCTCCAGAGATATCAGGAGAGCAGACGGTACGTTCAACAAACCTTCACA